GGGCAGCGCAGGGCTGCCGGCGCCTGCCGAGGCGGGCCTGGAAGCACAGCTTCACTGCCGCTGGCAGGGTGCACAGCGAACGCTTCGAGCGGCCAAGGGTTGTGGGGTTGTCAGCAAGGGTGCGGGTGTTACCTTTACTTGAAGCCATTGAACTTTTTTTTATTAATAGAATGAAAATATTTATCTTATGTTGTCTTACTGTGGGATGACATCATCATCCTTTTACCTCGGCTGTATGCCCTACTAATCATAGTAAGATATCTACAGTAAACAGTGCACACTGGACAGACTTCCAGAATTAGGGAGCAGTGCATTTGCAAGACAAACCTGAGTAAAAAGACAGACTTTGTAATGCACTATTTAGTTATTTGATGTGGCTTCCTGTAAAGACAGAAATACTTCCCAGTTCACCTGTTCATTATTATCCTGTTGGAGAAGACAATTAAAAAATAATTGAAAAAAAGAAATCTCTGAAGCAGAAATAGTGGAAACAGCCTGTTTTATTCCATTAAAAAAAGCAACATCTGTCAGAGAGACTTTATTATGATGTAGTTTTTTCTGATGCCTGGAGAGAGGACAGGAGGCAATGGGCACAAGTTCAAACACAGAAAATTGATCTTAAACATAACAATAAAAAAAAACACTGTGAGGGTGGTCCAACACTGGAAAAGGATGCCCAGGGAGGTTGTGGAGTCTCCATGGTTGTGATACTCAAAAGCGGACTGAACAGGATCCCAAGCAACCCTCTGTAGTTGACCCTGCTTTGAGCAGGGACTTGCACTAGACAATCTCCAGAGCTCCCTTCCAACCTCAACCATTATGTGATTCCATTCAAAGTACTCTGTAGGGAACTCTGGTCTCAGTTTTTCTGAGCTGGTATTTAATGTTACCCTTTTAAAAAAAATGTTGGGTTTGCTGATAAAAACACCGTAGGATTTTTTTTTTTAATTCAGGTTGAACCTTTGACTGCAAGACTCATTTAGTAATATTTTTTTTGTCCATCTCATTCTGCTATGACAGAGGATTTTGACTGACAGACTCTCTATAAGAAAGGGACTAATGTTGTTACCCTGAAGCAGGGTTCAAATATTGTTTAAAAAGTTTAAATTTTGTACTCTTTTTTTCTTGTATATATACAGGAAAAAAATGAGTAAGTTAAAAATTCTGGTTTTGAAGATTGCGATATAGTGGGTAGAAAAACCTACATTCATGGGTCTTATGTAAATTACATTTCTAACCTTCATTAGCAGCTGTTCATACATGTTAAAATGTTAAACTTGGAACCATTTTGAGTTCTTCAGTTTACATTAATTGCATGTAATTGTTCTTCCTTTTTATATTATTTTGCATTGTTAGTTTTTGCATGTTCAATTCTGTGTTTTTTCATTGTGATCCTTAAAGTCAATGTCAACTAATTTTATTTTAAATTGTTTAGAAACATATAGCTCATGGCCTGGTCCCTGCTGCTACCATAGCTCCTAAACCTGCAGTTCCCCGCACCCCTCCCCCTCGTAGTCCAAACCCTTCTCCAGAAAGGCCCAGGTAGGTTTTGAGTTGTTGATTGTTTTTTTTTTTTTTCTTCATCAAATACAATAGCATACTAGAAAAGCATGATTAAAAGAATTGCATGTCCTTGCTGCAGTATTTACATAAACCTTTTCATAAATAGAAAATATATTTTAAATGGGGTGGTTCCCTACTTTGAATTTTAAATATACCTATTTTCTCCCACTCCTAAGCATGCTAAATAATGGGGACAATGACTATTATGAATATGTAACTGCTTATAAATCTGAGTCAATTAAAGACAAATGGACTTTTTAAAGTTAGGGCCATTTTTAATTTGGCTGCTACAGTAGAGTATAGGAGTAGTTTTACTCATTAGAAAAGCATAAATAAAATATTACTAACATGCCATTTTATTGAACATTAAAAAAAGCAGGGACTTAAAAAATTGGCGTTACATAAAGAGAAAATACAAATTTAATTTCATTTGTAGTTTCTTACATACATGAAGTTTCTTTTAGGTTTTTGCTATATTTAGTTCAATTCTGATTGTTTTCTGTGGTCTTTCTAGTGTCTCTAACATTCCTACTTAATCCTAGTTAATTTGTTTTTCCTTTTTGACCTCAAGTTGTTGTCATTCCTGTTAGTCCTCACCATTTCTCTCCTTTAATCTTTGTTCCTCCTTGTTTTTTCCTCCTTTATCTTCCGCTTCTCTGTACTCCACTGCATCCCACAAATAGGCACTTCTACTTGCCCTAGTTTGCAATGTGCCAGCATTTATTAACAGCTTCAAAGTCATCACTAAAAGGTTCAGAGTAGGGAATAATGGAAGGTAGGAGACAAAATAGCACAACATGGAACACTTTTTCAACATGATGCCTGGTAGTATTGTTATGACTGATGTGAATGTTAAGTACTGTCAATTATCATTGTCAATTTTGGGAATGTAACTCAGTATATTCCATGATTTTCATGCACGTGATTTGGGAAAGCCAGTGGGTACTGTACTTGACTCTTAGATAGCTGCTTTACAATCGCTTGCCCAGTTTTGTGCTTTACTTTGGGAATTAATAGTTTATAACCAGTCCCTTAGCGTTTTCAGTGATGTTTATGCTTGTTAACTGTGAATGTGTTGCTTTCCTTTAGTGAAGACATTTTGCAATGGAAAAAAATACAAAATGTGGAGCATGGAGAAGACAACAGTATTGTTTCATCGCTTTATTCTGTTTTTGTCCAGATCTGCTCTAGCAGCAGCTATCCTTGCAACAACACTAACAGGGCGCACTGTTGCTATTCCTCAGCCTCGGCAGCGATCCCTTTCTGAAAGTGATTCCACTTATGTGGAACAAGAATGCTTTGAACCATATGCGACAGTGACAGATCTCAGAATGGGGTACTGTATACTTTCTGATTTCATATCTTAGAGTCTGCCAATGACACAATTTTACCAAAGAGTCACAGCAAACTCCTGCTATTATAGCCACTTAGATTTGTATCACCACATCGTAAATTGGATCTGAAGTGTCTACAATCCTTGGTCCACTTCTCATAACATGATGTCATGCATACAATCTTCAGGGAGGGAGATTTGGATTGTACAGCAGTCATAAGTAAAACCACATATTATTTCTGTGAAATGATGATCAATTATACAAACAGTTAATCACTGAGGAATCACCTGAATTACATGTCAGAGATTTCCTTCATGTTAAATAATTATTTCAGACTCTCTTGGTAGAATTGGCAACCTTCTGTCTCTAATCTGGCATTTTCTTTAAGGTAGAGAAGAAAATGTAGCTCCAGTGTTAATCGTCTATTTTAAAGCATACACACGGGCTAGATCCCTTGTTTGCAGCTAACAGAAGCTTAGATGTCTGTGTTAGCTGTTTGGACTTGTGTATAGTGTAAGGCTGATGGTTCTGCTTTACTGTTGCTTATTTTTTTGGAAGAGTAAGCAACACTGAAACAGGCTTTAAACTGCTTTCTACTTGCAGGCCTAACTGGAAACTTGATGATAGTGACAGATCTCCTGTACAGTCCCTGGAAATATCAGGCAATTATGGTGAAGATGAGGACATGGATACCTATCTTTCTGATAAAGAGGCAGAGTCCAGCTCTCAGAGTAATGAGAAAAGGGAACAAAGCTTTAGCACCAATGCTATTTATGCTGTTCCCTGCAAAAATAAAAAGGTAGTATTTTCAAATGTGTTAATTCCTTTACCACTTTTTAATATATTAATGCAAACATTAAATATTTCTAAGGCTTTTCATGCTTTTCTTACTCTTGACATTTATTCAGTTTTTATTTCCTGTGCTTCTTTTTGTGAATCACTTTTACACAACTTAGGTTTGTTTGTTGATCCTCACAGACGCCATATCTCTGATCATGAGGAGCCTTTTCTTATTAGGAAAACACTGGTATTGTGTATAATTATTGTACATAATAGAGTCTCCTAAAATGTCCAATATTTTATGTTGAGTGTAATATTTATATAGTAGATTATTTGTTTAAAACACTAGGAACTTTTGTTTTAGATGGTGAAAGATTAGTTAATGATTCAGTATTGTGCTAATGAGCAGACTTATGTAGAGACAGGGAGATTCAGGATCAGACAAAATAAATTACCTTGTTGTCTTGAAGACCAGTGGAATTCTTCTATGTTACAGTTTTGGATTACCTTAACCAGCAATGAGCAGCTTGATATTCCTAAAGCACATTTAAAGTTCAGTCCAAAATTATACAAAAAATTAACAAACAGGAAGAAATAACTGAGTAGTAAAGAGGCAATAAAATGCTATGCATGTGAAAGAAGTCAGAAGATTTCTTTCTGAAGAGATAGTAGTCAGTAGGAGGAGGAAAGGGGAAAAGAAAAAAGGGAGTGGAATACATGGAACACTGGTATGCAATTGACAGGGGAAAACCAGTGAAGACAATGTTAGAAATTATTAATGAATCCCTCAGTGCTCTGATGTAGAAGATACATGGTTGATCTTTTATTAAGAGCAAGTTCTTACTATGGTAGGGCAAACAAGAAAATGTAGGATCATTTCACTTGACTCTTGTGACTGAATAAGGTGACAGGAAATATTTGTCCTGTGAACTAAATGACTAACATAGTTTCCTACCTCCTGTTGATCATTGTAAGGTTTAGATTTTATTTACAGAGAGCCCTAAACAAAATAAAAAATTATCTCTTATAATTTATTATCTTAAAATATTGGAGTTCTGAGTGTGACCAAGTCATTAGTACAGTAAAGATTTCATACAGATGTCAAGATTAGGGCTATTTTAACCGTATTATCATGATTTAGATAGGCTTTTCTTATTTTCACATAGGAAGAGTTTCCACCATCTCTTAGTACTAATGCTGACAAGAAAAAGGTGCCTTCTCATGAAACTGAGTTTCACGTGCTGATGGATGAGTCAAATGTACA